GTTGTCACCCACTGGTCGAGAAGGGAGCCCAGAGCAGAGAGCAGGAAAACAGAAGCTATTCCAAGGATGTTACACTCCTGGAGCAGTGACTGGAGAGGATTTATCCTTGATTTCAGCCCTGGGAATGCAGCACCAGAGGATGGGGAGAGCAGGAAGAGGGAGAGACTCACCACCACCTGCATCCAGAGCTTTTGCTGGATGAATCAGAGGAGTGGGTGGAGGTGGGAGCTCCAGCAGTGTGGACAGGCAGTGTCTGTGCCAGGCTCATCTCCACCTGATGATGCTTCTGCATCACCAGCTCTGCTCAGCTCCCCAGGGATGTGACTCAGTGCCCACGTCAGCCCCAGCTGGGCTCCCTCCGCTCCGTGGATTCTGAGCATCCCTGAGCCTCCTCCTGCTCCAGGGCCATGGATCCTGCACTGCCACCAGCCTCAGGCTCCTCTTCCCAAGCAGTTTTCCTCCAAACCCCTAAGGATGCTGGAATGGGCACAGCCCCAGCTCCTGGAAACTGATCCCACTGGAGCATGGGGAGCATTCCAAGCAGTCTTCCCACTTCAAACATCTCTTCCCAAGCAGTTTTCCTCCAAACCCCTAAGGATGCTGGAATGGGCACATCCCCAGCTCCTGGAGGCTGATCCCACTGGAGCATGGGGAGCATTCCAAGCAGCTTCCCTATTCCAAACATCTCTTCCCAAGCACTTTCCCCACTCCAAACACCTCTTCCCTCTCCTTTTTCTTACCTAATTCCTTGCTCTGCCTCTTCAGCTCACTCAATATTCCTTCCCCTTTCCTGCTTCCCAACTCCAGGCCAGTCATTTATCACCTTTTTTTTTTTTTTCCTTCCTTTCCAGTTTCCTCGCAGGGAAGAAGCAGCTGAAAAGAAATCCACAACCTTATTGTCTGCTTGTTTTCCAATACAGTGAATTTATTATATGTTGCAAAATCAGCATTCAGCTTTTTTTTTTTTTGCTTTTTTTGTCGTTTTTTTCTGGGTTTTTTTTTAGTGTACAAAAAAAGGACACTAGCTTTTAAGAAAAAAGATTAGGAAAGCTGAAGACTAGGCTGCCTTGAAATTGTAACATTTTGGCAAAGTGAAAAGCTCTTTTTTTTTGTTTTTTTGTAAACTCCAACTCCATGGCTCAATATAGTTTTGTTTTTTTTTTTTATCCACAGTACAATATTACAAAGTAAAACACAGTCTCAATAAGTTAAGATCATACTTAATCACCTAGAACTGGTTCCTAGTAACCCAAAAAAGCACAAAACTCCTTTTTTTTTTTTGCCTAAAGCTTTGTCATCTCTAAAAAGAGAGAAAATTTTAAAAAACCAAACTGAAAATAAAAAGGCAGATTGGACTACAATCCTTGAACACAAGTCTGAAAAAGAAAAATGAAGCAGGAAAATTGGTGGATGCTAATTGGGTCTCACAGTTTGAAATATTTTTCAGGGTGGGTTTTGTTAATTTTTTTGGGGGTGGTTTTTTTCCTCTTTTTTTTTTTTTTTTAATAGTCAATTTTTTCTTAGCTTTTCCAAGTTCCAGAATATACATGTCAATGTACACAATACCTCTCTGTATACAACTCTGTTTGCAAAAATATCTTCTAGCAGATGTATAAAGATTGAGATCCATTTCTTTTCCCCCTCCCTCCTCCCTCCCCGAGCAACAACAACACAAAAAATTCCCAAACCAGCTCCTTGCAAAAGATTCAGGAGCAGGAGAAATATTTCCATGGAAGAATTTACTCAGCCTGGGCTTGGAGTTGCTGCCTCCTGTGCCATCCTGAGCTCCAAGCTTGGAATGAAGTCCCACACCAAGGGAAAATTCAGCCTCAGCACCAGAAAAACTTGGAATTTGGGATGTGCAGCTCGTGGTTTTGCAGGGATGTAATTCCCAGCAGCATTCCAGGTGTTCCTGCCATCCCCTTCCAGCTCCCCCAGGGGAAGGATTCCCAACCTTGAGTTTGGACATGACCATCAATTCCTCCTCTGGAAACTCCTGGCAACAGCTCATGGAGCAGGAGGACACAGTTCTCCAAAGCTCTTTGCCTTGAGAATTCCAAGTGTTTTCCAGCTTTCCCTGAGGAGCAGAAGCAGCTGAGGCAGGTGGTGCTCAGGAGCTCATCCTGACTTCCAGGCTGGGGCTGGAGAGGAAGGATGGGAGAGAATTCCCAACAGCTTCCAGTTGTCCTGAGCTCCAAGCTGGGGCTGGAGAGGAAGGGATGGGAATGGAGAATTCCCAACAGCTTCCAGTTGTCCTGAGCTCCAGGCTGGGGCTGGAGAGGAAGGATGGGAATTTCCCACAGCTTCCCACTGGGAATGCCCTGGGAGGGTTCTGGGGATGGTCCCCAGGGATCAATCTCTCTTCCCTCAACCCTCAGAGAATTTGGGGTGAGGAGCAGTGGAAAAGTGTCTGAGCAGGGACACCAGTAACTGACCAGTAACTGAGCAGGGACACCAGTGGCTGAGCAGTGACACCAGTAACTGAGTAGTGACACCAGTAATTTTGAACAGTGACTGAGCAGGGACACCAGTAACTGACCAGTAACTGAGCAGGGACACCAGTGGCTGAGCAGTCACTCACCAGTGACTGAACAGTGACACCAGTAACTGTCCAGTGCCACCTGTAACTGACCAGTAACTGAGCAGTGACACCAGTCACTGACCAGTGACTGAGCAGTGACACCAGTAACTGGCCAGTAACTGACCAGGGACACCAGTGGCTGACCAGTAACTGAGCAGTGACACCAGTCACTGACCAGTGACTGAGCAGTGACACCAGTAACTGGCCAGTAACTGACCAGGGACACCAGTGGCTGACCAGTAACTGACCAGGGACACCAGTCACTGACCAGGGACTGAACAGTGACACCAGTAACTGGCCAGTAAGTGACCAGGGACACCAGTAAGTGACCAATAACTGCCCCCAGTGGCAGCCCAAAGGCCACAGCACCTCATCCCTCTGGCTGGCAGCTCTCCCCTGCAGCAGGGGATGGCAAAGCCCTGGCAGGACAGGGAGAGAGCTCAGAATAAAGTGACAAAGCAAAGCAGTTGGCCCTGGACACATGACAAGAAGGGAACTCTTATTACTATTATTATCAATATTTGTAAGCTTTTAAATGCAGCAGCTGGACCCACTGTGTGTTTGGGGGGCAGAAAAACCTCAAGGGCTCCTGGTGGGAGAAGTGTTTCCCTCCTTAGCTCTGTCATTCCTCTCCTTCAAAGGGTGAAAAGCTCTTCAGTGCAACCTCCAAGGGAAGGAGACTCCACAGGGAAGGAATCCTTTACTCTGAGATAAACAGAGGCAGGAAGAAGTCAAATCCCCCAGGCTGGCAGGATTAGAAAGGGGAGAGGGGAGAGAGAAAGAAAGGAATAGCAGAGTTAAAGGACACCTTTGTGCTTTTCTGGAGTGTTTCTCACACCCTGACCATACTCTCAAGTGTTTCCCCTTCAATCCAAGATACTAAAAAAAGATCAGGAAGCAAAAAAACTGTAGGGAGAAGTTTGGCTGGAGAAAGCAAACCAGGGGAAGGGACCCGTGTGGGAAAGCACCACCTGACTGCTCTCACACTGCTCCCAGGAGGATTTAGAGAGAGACAAAAACTTCCAGGAGAAAGCTTGGCACCCCCCACCCCCTCCTCTCCTGGAGCAGGGAAAACTCACTCCTCTGGCTGCCTATGTGCTGAGCTTGAGGAACACAGCAAGGGAAGAAGGGGCTGAAGCACTTGGCCTAAAAGGAAAAGGGAGGCACAGGTTTAGAAAAAGATGCTTTTTTTTTTCCTTTTTTTTTTTCGATACAAAAATAGACCATAGTCTCATTAGCAATTAATAAAATTGGCTGCCTTGGTAGAAAATTATCAAAGTCAAAGCCAGACAGG